CCCAAACCCACTGAGCTGAATGTTCTGAATGACCCAAACCCACTGAGCTTGGTGTTCTAAATGACCCAAACCCCAAACCCAAACTCTCATTAAACAAAGGGGTCGTTTGTTTATCTGGGTTTTTCCCTTTTTCCTCCTTCTCCCAGAGCAGGAACCCTAAACTCCAGAAGCTGCCCCTCCTCGGGGTGGTTGAAATGTTCCCCGGGGGCTGGGCAGGGTGGCACAGGAGCATCCCCAGCCCCAGCAGTTCCCTCCGGAGGCTGCAGGGACCAGGGACTGAGCCCCATCTGCTGGTGCAGATGGTCCCGTCCCCAGCAGAAAACATTCCCTGGTGCCTTTTGTTGCCCTGGTTTTTGAAAGGGTTAACTTTTCTTTTATAGTCCTTTGGAGAGTCTTAAAGTTCTCATAAAACTTCTTCAACCTTCTGATCTCTTGACATATTTCTGCTAGAGTTCTCACGCACTGTTCATGTAAATAATAATTGTTTTACATTTTTCTTGGTGGGAGGAGAGAATTGATGGGCTGTTGGCTTGACCAGTGTGGCTGGAGAGGTGGCAATTCCACCCTCCAATCCACGGCCACCTCTAGAATTCTAGAAATATCAGATGCTCGAATAAAAGGCTCTCTTTCTTAGCCTTTAAACTTGCCAAGCGTTTGTGTATTTATTTTGTGTCCAATAGCGACACCTTTAGTTTCCCCCTGGAAAACCGGGATAAACCCAGGATAAACCTGGGATAAACCCGGGATAAACCCGGGATAACCATTCCTGATGCCTGCTTTGCTCGTGCTGGGCTGAGGAAGGGCAGCCCTGGCTCATTTCAGCTGCTCAAGTGATTTTCCAGCTCTTCTCCAAGGCAGGTGTCGTGTGTCCGAGAGCAATTTGGGCTCACATCGGGGATTTAACCCTGACAGTTAATTAATCCCAGTAATTAATGGGGAATCGAGGGGCAAAGACCAGACTCTCCATGGAAATGCTTCCAGGTGAGTCACTGATCCCTGATTTCCAATTCATCTATAAAGCCTGAGCTGCCCAGGGATGAACAACACAGGAGGAAATTTGTGTCACGGATCCTGGGGTTCTGGGTTTGGAAATTGGGATTTTCCCACATGAGGCCCTGCACAGCCTCCTAGTGAATTAGTAAACACAACCATGCAATGCTGGACAGGGTTTTCTGTCCTCAGTTGCCTCAGGGATTTTCCAGCTCATGGAACTGGGAAAGGTTTTTCCTGCCAGGATAGAATTTGCCACTTTTGGGGCTCAGCACTATTTTTTTTTTTTTTTTCATTTTTAATTTCAGTTCATTATTCTCACATACAAAAATTATTTCTACTGTTCAGGCAAAAAAAATGTGTCTCAAATGTTGTGTTTCTACCTGGTATCTGCGTCTCCTTGTGCTTTTAACTTTGACCTTGAAAGTCAAAGGGAAGTAGGAGTTTGGGGTGCTCCAGGTCCTGGGATAAGTCCAGGTCACTGTTCCATTGGTGGCCACGTACTGACACTGGGGGGGGTCAGGCTTTACTGCAAGAGAAAACACAGAGGGAATTCATTCATGTGGAGAACTGGAAGTCAGCTGTTGCTGTGTTACTGGTGATAGTTTCATGGGAGGGAGCTTTGGGAACCTCCAGGTTAAGAGAGGAGTAGCCTTGAAGTGTAATAAGGAGTAGCAGTAATAATAAGTAATAGTAATAGTAGTAATAATAAGCACCCAAGGAGTAGCCTTGGGTGCTTTTTATGGAAAATTAAGCACAACCCTAGACTCAGTCTGCATAAGATCATTCTTTCTTTGGCCTGCAGGGTTGCAGAGGGCTCCACTGGACACACAGGAATATCTTCAGCACCTGCTGACCATTAATGCATTTAGGCAAACCTCTGTTTCTTTAGGATGCTGCCTCATTTTCCTGTGTCCTGTGGCCACAACTCAGAGCCCTCTCATTCCTGTCCCTTTCTGTGAACCTGCCCTGACTGCCCAGCTAGGGATGGCTGAGGAGGGAAGCATCCCTAGCCTGAACAGTTCTCAGAGAGGAGCCTGCTGGATTATTCTCTGGCTTGTCCCTTCCCAACCAGGTGCATCCTTTGGGGACATTCAGGGACCTGTGGGTGTTGAGACATTGGAGGTCACAAGCCAGGAAGATGCTGCTGCTTCACTTCCTCATCCTTTTCTGTCCTGGCCCCCTGTTCCTGTAACTGGAGCTTGGTGGACATTTACAGAGCACGGGGCAGGGATTCCCAGGGCTGGGCTGCAGCAAAATAAAGCTCAAAATCAACCCCCACTGCTGGGCTACTCACTGATGTCCCTGATGAAGAAGCTGGCAGTGTAGTTCTCATATAGCACCTCATCAATGGCCTCCAGGAGGATGTCAATGGGCTGGTGCTCCTCAGCAAAGGGACAGAAGTTCTCCTTGTGGCACTGGGCCGTGTAGGTGGTCAGGGCCCCCTCGCTCAGGGCCACGGGGCTGCTGCAGGACACGTCTCCCTGGGGGCTGGAACAGAGCAGGGAGAGGCACTGGGAATGCTGCTTTGTCCTGGGAATGGGGCTCCAAAACCTCGTGTGTTTGGTGAGGAAACGTTTTGGTTTGCCTGTAGTTTGTCTGCTGCAGAAAAGGGTCAGTGGGGCTGCCACATCCCCAGTGTTTGGGATGGATTAATGTCGGTTCTCAGCCTCAGCTCACCCTTGCCTTCAGGAGGAATTAATCTTTAAACCTAAACCAGGATCTCTCATTTCCGCCATCCCATGGCAAGCTCCAGTTTCCTCCTTTGTCCCCCTGCCCTCTCCCAAACCCTGCTGAAGAAATGAGGGCTGAGAAGTCTCCCTTGGGAAACAAACACCAAAAGCTGCCAAAGCACCACCTGAGCCTGGCTCTGTTTGTGCTGCACCCCCTGGCAGCTGTTTCTCCTCTGGCAGGCTGGGGTGACCTTTGCTGGAGCACTCCACGTTTTGGAGAACCCCCCAGGGCAGTGGGAGGCAGGAAATCCCCCCAGGGTTCCCAGCACCATTTCCCTGCAGGTTCCTGCAGGGTTCCTCAGCACAGCCATGTGCTCTGCAGTGGGAGCAGCCTCCCACTCCCACTCCACCCTGCACTGCGAGCTGTGGTTCTCTCTGCCTCGGCTCCACTTCCTCTCTGCCCTGCACCGACTCTTTTGCTGTTGCTTAAGTTACCCAGTGGCTACTCCAGCCCAATGGACTCATTCCTTTTTCAAGGCTTTATTAATTTCTGAGCGACTTCCATGCCCTTACCGAGTTAACTTTGTCCCAGTAATGGCTCAAAATGTTTTGAGGATGTTCAGACTTGGAAAAGAGATCTCCCCCCCATTTCATGCCCCTAACAGCCTGAAATCCTACACAGAGTAACACCAAGGGCTGCTCTGTGGGGCTGTGAAGGGAAGTACAAACTCTTACCCTTCCAGGCTTCTGATGGTGAACTTCACATTTGGATTATTTTCTGTCATCCAGGAACATGTGAAAATTCCAGAGTAGTTTTTTGCCTCACACCTCAGAAATGTCCTGTTGGGCTCTAGACAGAAAGACAGAAACCAGGAGTTATTTACTCGTTTGCCAAAATGGCCGAGGCAGAGAGAAACAATCCATGAATTCACAGATTCCCTGGCAGTACCATGAGGGACTCAAAGAGGTTCATGCAGAAAATGCAAAACATCCCAGGCTTGTCTCCTGAATGGAGAGGCCCAAATGACAGCACTTCAAACCTGGGGCAGGCCCTGGTTCTGCCAAACCTCAGAATCCTGGAACCTCCTGAGCTGGAAGAAACCCATAAGGACAATGGAGTCCAGCTGCACAGCCCCAAAATCCCACCCTGGCATCCCTGGAGTGGTGTCCAAGCCCTCCTGGAGCTCTGGCAGCCTTGGGGCCGTGCCCATTCCCTGGAGAGCAGTGCCAGCACCCTCTGGGGGAAGAAATTTCCCAAAATCCAACCCAAACCTCCCCTGGCCCATCCCCAGCCCTTCCCTGGCTCCTGTCACGTAGCCCTGGCTTTCCAAACCGATTCCTCCCACCCCTCCACCCTATCAGCCTGGAGAATCCCCAAGAAATCCCACAGCCCCTCTCCCTGTGCTGCCCATCAGCTGCAGCGCCCGGAGCTGCAGGAGGGACGATTCTCCTGCCGCTGGCGGCAGAGCTGCTGCAGAGAACATCTGTGCAAGGCCATTTCCCAGGCTGAGCAGGACAATGCCAGCACCGCAGCGCCCTACCCTTAAAGCTCTTGAGGATGTCCCTGAGGAGGTGGCCGTCGGGGCCGATCCTGGCGATGAGGAGGAGGCTGGAGCTGAGCACGCTGTGGCTCTCCTCGCTCACACAGCTGTAGTTGCCGGCGTCCGGGAGCTCCTTCACTGCCACGCTCAGGGTCTTCCCTTTCTGCTTGCCCTCCGAGTCCTTCCTCCAGTACACTGCCTCCTCAGAGCTGGCACAGCTGAGCTCCACCGTGGTGGCCGCGGCCTCGGCGTCCCACTGGGAATCTACGACAAACACTGGGAATGGCAGAGGAGATTCAGGAGCTGCTCACGGCCAGGGCCGAGCCCTTCCTGCAGCTCGAGGGGAGCCCCAGGGAGGCTTTTCCTCAAAGGTCAGACACCGAGAAACCTGTCAAATACGGACTCTAAACTGGCAGAAACACTCGGCTCTAGGAAGTCTGGGAGTCTCCCAAACTCCCTATGGACAGGGCAAAGGGGATCTTCAAACTCAACGTTGGCAAACAGATCTGCTGCTGTCAGCATCAAATCCCTCCCAGGGAACACCCAGGATAAATATTCTTGTTAACGTAAAGATAAGTCCTTGAAAGAGAGGACAATCTGAATTTCGCCCAATCTTCTGATAAGTTATTCAAAAGAATTGTATATTCCCTGTATTTTTACAAATGGATGTACATTTAAGTTCTTTACCAGAGAAGCTGATAAACTATTTATAGGTTTTAGGTTTTACTCAGAAATAGATGTTCTTTTTCACAACTAATTCTTCACTTGTCTTTTTTTAGGGTTGTTCCCTTAGTCACAGTTTTTGTATCCAGGCTGTGTGACTGAGACTTTGAACACGAGCAGAAAAAAAAAGGAAGAAATAGGAAATAAAACATTTGCTAATGCAAATACTGCAAATATGCAAATATGCTGTTGGAATACATTTTAGAACTTTTAAATATTTTTCTATGAACTCCAATTAATTATGGTCAAACAAATAAACATATTTAGCCTTGGCCTAAGATACTGCAGTTAACAAATCCTGTGCTAGTGGCCACAATTAGAATTCCAAAGTTTTAGGTCTGACTAAATATTCCTTACCATTTTCCTGCAGTTTCCACTGGGCACTTCCCAGTATGGCAGCAAAGGAAAGCAGGGACAGTAAGGCACAGAGGAGGTGAGACATCTATAGGGGTAAAAAAAAAATTATAAAACTTCACTGAGGTTGGCTGAGTGTGCTCCAAAATCAGGCTGGGGCTGGGCAGGGTGACAAGGACAAAATCAGTCCCAGTGAGCTGAGGAACATCTTCCCATTCGGAGAACTCTGGGATTCCATAACAGTGGAATCTCAGCGTTGTGCTGGAGCTGCAGCCCTGATTTTGACCCACTCGGGATTCTCATCCCCAGGCAGTTTAGAGAAGGAATCACCCAGGGAATTGTGCGGGTGGCTCTGGGCTGGTCCCTCGCTGAAAGCTCCTCGTGCAGGAAAAGCCCTGCTTGGTGCAGCGAGGCCAATTCCATGGAAAAGGCACTGGATGAAGGCTCAGTGGGCTGAAGGCAGGTTTGGATCCCCACCCCTGCGGGTGGCACCTGGAGGTGGCACTCAGGCTCTGGGGACAGGCTGGGCATGGGCACAGCCTGGGCTGGTGATCCCAAAGCTCTTCCCCAGCCTCGGTGGTGCCCAAGGCACTGCCCCGAAGGACCAATGGCCACCCCATCCCACCCATCCAGAGCCTCCTTTGGCTCAGCTCAGGAGTCCCATTAAACAGAGGCTTGAGGACAACCCCAAGGAGCTGCTGGAGGCTTCTGCTGGGCTCTGTCTCCATCTCTGAACGAAGCAGAGCCAGAGCTCAGGGCAGAGCTGCTGCCAGCTCCAGCTCCACTCCAGTTCTGGTGTCCAGCTGAGCTCCCCCAGTCTGAGCTGGGAACAACTTCAGGCAAAAATCCTCCTGCATTCAGTGCCACGGCTCTGTCTGCAGCGAGGGCTGGGAGTGGAGGTCATAACTGCCCTGTGTCCAAGATATAAATGGATATTTCTCCTGAATTTGTTCCAAATACCACCAGAACCCTCCAGAAAACACAAAACACCTTTGCCAAATATTGTCATAACTACTGGGTGCATAAAAACTTGAATAACAGTTATTTAGGTGCACTTCCAGACCTTTTCAAACTGGAGAGAAAACCAAATTAACAGAATCTCTTCAAGACGGAGATGGTGAATATCATTTTCAAAGCCCTATTCTAACTGCAGTAGGAGGCTGAATGCAGGTGGAAAATTAAAATTTTCACACAAAATTAAGTGGTTGGAGTTATTTTTTTCCTCCCAAACCATTCTTTTTTGTAATGAAAGAGGAGTAGCCCTCCTGATTCCTTGAGAGCAGAGTATGTTCCTGTGCAGATCAATTCCTAGTGCAGCTCCTGCTGTTCTGGGCATCCTAAATCCTGGTCACAAATCATCCAGTGCCCTTTGGATTTGCACCCAGCTCTTAGTGGGACCAGAAGCTACAATGAAGTGTCTGGAGGGTGTCCAGGAAAGGCAGCAGCTCCTGCTGTGCTCAGAGAGGGGCACAAGGCTCAGGGAAAAGCCAGTTATTATTGGCCAGAAATGACAGAAAAATTTAGGTTGGAAAAGAGCTCTAAAATATATCATATCCCATTAGCAGTGCTAATAACTGCTTCATCACACTCTCAGATTTCAGGCAGGATTGGCTGGAATTTCCAACAGAAAGATTCATTTGTCAGCTTTCTGAAAGCTGCTGGTTTCTGTCACGAAACATGAAATTCATCAGCACACTTCATAAACCTGAAACTGAACATCCAAACATCAAAACAGCACCTCAGACTGGGGGAGAGCAGTGGGACTTGTGCCTTCTCTTCCATTCATCACAATTAAAACATCCAAAGCAGAAAAGTTTCTCCTGCTTTCAGAGAGAAGCTGAAGCTGCATGAATCGGGTTTTTGATTAAACCAGCCAACAATTTGCATGGAGATTATTCACATTGTAGATGTGGGAAAGCACCCCTCCCCCATCTCCAAATTTTATTGAAAAATTAATCAGAAACAAACTCAGATTCTGAGCAACACCAGGGAGTGCCTGAGCACTTCAGAAATGAGAATATTCCAGCTCCAAACGTTCAGGAAATCACAAAATCGTGGAACAGTTTGGGTTGGAAGGACCTCAAAGCCCTTCCAGTGCCACCCTGCCATGGCAGGGACCCCCCCACTGTCCCGGGTGCTCCCAGCCCCAGTGTCCAGCCTGGCCTTGGGCACTGCCAGGGATCCAGGGGCAGCCACTGCTGGATAATTCCTTCCCAAAATCCCATCCATGCTAGGAGCTGCTCTGGGAATTCCATCCCAGCCCTGCCCACCCTGCCAGGGAACAATTCCCAATTCCCAATCTCCCACCCAGCCCTGCCCTCTGGCACTGGGAGCCATTCCCTGGCTCCTGTCCCTCCATCCTCGTCCCCAGCCCCTCTCCAGCTCTCCTGGAGCCCCTCCAGGCCCTGCAGGGGCTCTGAGCTCTGCCTGGAGTTTCTCCTCTCCAGGTGAGCCCCCCCAGCTCTCCCTGGATCCTTCTCCTCTCCAGGTGAGCCCCCCCAGCTCTCCCTGGATCCTTCGCCTCTCCAGGTGAGCCCCCAGCTCTGCCTGGAGTTTCTCCTCTCCAGGTGAGCCCCCCCAGCTCTCCCTGGATCCTTTTCCTCTCCAGGTGAGCCCCCCCAGCTCTCCCTGGAGCTTTTCCTCTCCAGGTGAGCCCCCCCAGCTCTCCCAGCCTGGCTCCAGCCCCTCAGCAGCTCCATGATTTCCTCTGGACTCTCTCCAGCAGCTCCAGGTGCTGCTGCTGGTGGAGACCCCAGGGCAGGTGGGCTCTCACCTGAGCCCGGGGGCACAGGGGCACAGTGTCCTTGGTGTCCCCTGCGTGTCCCCGCTGCTCTGGAGCTCGAGGGCTGGGGCTGAGCCCAGGTTCCTTCAGGGAGAATCTCCGAGTGATTCCTGCCAGGAAGGAGCTCTGGACCTCACCTGGGCCAGTCCCAGCTCCTGGCAGGAGCCAGTGGAACAGAGCAGCCATAAAAAGGAGTTTGGCAACACTCCCAGCCCAGAAACACCAACCCTGCTCCAATGCCAGGATCCTTGCTGCCTGGTGGCCCAGATTACCAGCAGTATTTACACATCTACATCATGTGCTAAACTTTATCAGGATATAAACACTGCCCTGAAGAAAACGTCCCAGTGACTATTTCAATGCACTCCCAAGTAAATGATGTTGAATTTGCATTAGAGTAAAGAAGAAGAAATGAGTTCTCACCGTTTCCTGGGAAGCCTCTGGCTGGAGCTTGGCTCTGGGAGGTGAAGGAAACAAAGTTCTGGTGCCAAGGTCTGCAGAGGAAAGGGGTGCCTTATAAACGCTCCCTGCCACCGCAATACCACAGGATTGCAACACGTGGGTCCAGTTCCTATTTTACATTGGGCCACAGCTACAGCCAAAAAAAAAAATATTTGGGAGTCCCAGGTAAACTTCGAGGAGGAAATGAAATTATGAGATTTTAAAGCGACCTTTAGTGGTTTCCCAGAGTCATTTCCTTTCCTCGCTGGTTTTCTGTCTTCATCACAGAGGAAGAGTGAAGAGACCAAATAAACTTCCAGAGCGTCTGATGGGAAACACAGAATGAAGACAGAAAGAGAAAGTTCAATAATCTAAAACTCTTTCTACTTGATAAGCATGAGATAATTATGTGACCTCTAATCTCAGCTCCCACATCAATCAGCAGGAAAGGGAACAATGATTTTTAATTGCTGGTTTTGAGTTGTGTTTGTTCCATTAATTGAGACTTAACCAAAAAATAAACAATTAGTTCCATCTTAGAGACACCTGATATTTGCACGTCATTAGCCTGCAGATTTTAGATATAATCTGAACCTGGTGTTCCTTGTACACCTCAGGCATAAGAAGAGTTCTGTGCTCCACATGGGCTTTGAAAATGATGAAAGGCTGTGTGGATTTGTTTGTTTGTTTGTTTGTGAAGGAATTGAACACAATTCTCATTATTTGCCAGGCAAACAGTGCTTTAAAAAGGTTTGAAACTCAACCTGACACACTTTAGGGATTAATGGAGAGACACAACTCCATTCCAGGTGCTTTCCAGGGGCAGGGTTCCCACAGTGCAGGGATTATAGTGCTGGAATCCTGATCCTTTCCTACAGAATCCCAGAATGGTTTGGGTTGGAAGGGACCTTAAAAAGAATTTATTCCACCTCTGCCATGGCAGAGACACCTCCCACTGTCCCAGGCTGCTCCAAGCCCTCTCCAGCCTGGCCTTGGGCACTGCCAGGAATCCAGGGGCAGCCCCAGCTGCTCTGGGAGATGTGTGCCAGGGTCTCAGAGGGAACAATTCCTTCCCAAAATCCCGTCCATCCCTGCCCCCTGGCACTGGGGGCCATTCCCTGGGTCCTGTCCCTCCAGGCTGGGGCCAGGCAAGAACCGGGGCTGGAATGGGGCCACGCTCACCTCTGGTGGCTGAGCTGTGACTCCTTCCCACCCCACAGAGCCCCAGGCTCTGCATTCCCGGGTGGCCCTGATGACTCCCTGCCCATCCCAGAGTGCCCAGCCTGCTCCTCAAACACGGGAATTCCCTGTGCCAGAGCTGCTGGCAGAGCTGGGCACGGGCGGAGCGC